GGGCCCAGCGGGTAGTGATCAATGGCTCGATGTCAGGATGGCGGTCGGTTTCTAGTGGAGTGCCCCAAGGTTCGGTTCTAGGACCAGTTTTGTTCAATATCTTTATTAATGATCTGGATGAGGGGATGGATTGCACCCTCAGCAAGTTTGCAGATGACACTAAGCTGGGGGGAGAGGTAGATACGCTTGAGGGCAGAGATAGGGTCCAGAATGACTTAGACAAATTGGAGGATTGGGCCACAAGAAATCTGATGAGGTTCAACAAGGACAAGTGTAGAGTCCTGCACTTGGGACGGAAGAATCCCAAGCATAGTTACAAGCTGGGGACCAACCGGTTAAGTAGTAGTTCTGCAGAAAAGGACCTGGGGGTTACAGTGGATGAGAAGCTGGATATGAGTCAACAGTGTGCCCTTGTAGCCAAGAAGGCTAATGGCATATTAGGTTGCATTAAGAGGAGCATTGCCAGCAGATCCAGAGATGTCATTATTCCCCTTTATTCGGCTTTGGTGAGGCCACATCTGGAGTATTGTGTCCAGTTCTGGGTCCCCCTCCCCCACTACAAAAAGGATGTGGACGCATTGGAGAGGGTCCAGCGGTGGGCAACCAAAATGATTGGGGGGCTGAAGCATATGACCTATGAGGAGAGGCTGAGGGACTTGGGTCTGTTTAGTCTGCAGAAGCGAAGAGTGAGGGGGGATTTGATAGCAGCCTTCAACTTCCTGAAGGAAGGTTCCAAAGAGGATGCAGAAAGGCTGTTCTCAGTAGTGACAGATGGCAGAACAAGGAACAATGGTCTCTATTTGTGGTGGGAGAGGTCCAGGTTGGATATTAGGAAAAACTATTTCACTAGGAGGGTGGTGAAGCACTGGAATGGATTACCTAGAGAAGTAGTGGAGTCTCCATCCTTAGAGGCGTTTAAGTCTCGGCTTGAGAAAGCCCTGGCCGGGTTGATTTAGTTGGAATTGGTCCTGCCTAGAGCAGGGGGCTGGACTTGATGACCTTCTGAGGTCTCTTCCAGTTCTACGATTCTATGATTCTAACTAGGGTTACCAGGTGTCCCGTATTGAACCGGACAGTTCGGTATTTTCAGGGCTTGCCGAACGGAGGAGAGCCCCGCTTGCCAGCCGCGCTGTCCGGCGATCTGCGCATGTGCAGATGGTTCTGTGTATGCACAGATCACCCGAACCCGGCTTTTCCGGGTTACTATCCACTCGCCACGGGCGAGTAGACTGTATTATTTGGCGAGCCCTGGGTATTTTTGCCTCCTGTCCAGTAAAAAAAAATCAGAAAATACCAGACATGTAAAATGTCCGGTATTTTCTGATTTTTTTCCCGGCCAGGAGG